GTTACGGAAAAATCGATTAACAAACGGAGACGTAACAATATTATCCATGGTGGCTTTCAGTCTTTATTGGATTTCTGCCTTTGTTAGGGCTAGAGAGAACGTTTCAGGCCCTATGTTGAGTTCAGCATAGAGAGACTGAAACGACGTCTCGGTATGTGTATTACCGCGTTTGATTCGTCTGCTGAGTCCAAGATAAAACCCCGAAACGTCATTTTAAGATTTTGACTGCACTTTTGAACCAAACAATGCATATGTTAAAAGAGACCGAAACGTCTTCTCGGTATCTGTATTACTGCTTTTGATTCGTCTGCTAATGTAATTTGGTACAAATATACCTTTTTTTGCAGGTCCGAAGCAGTGATGTAGACAATTTTCGATTTTTCCGGTGTCAAAATTGGCCATGTTGAGATTGCGTGACGGAGACATGTTGCATTCGCCCGCGATTGTTGGCCTCTTTTAATTTTTATCAGATTTGTGTTGATACAAGTATATGTTTAAAATATAAGCTTATACTTCACCTATTGTTAATATTATTAAAATTATATCCTGTCATCATGAAGTTCTGCTTAATTGACGTTTAGTGTATCAAGTCGTTCATGAAATATAAGTTTTTCTCTGTAGAAATATATGGAAGACCCCTGCATAGTCGTCCTAGAACCCTAATCATCAGCAACGACAGGGTATAATAAAGTTTGATTATTAATAATTAGGTCGTCTACTGTAATTTGCATCTAGTAGTCGCCTTTTGAGAGAGAGAAAAAAGTGTCGTGTTGCTTTTACGTTTGGGCCTGGCATAGCCTGATGGTTAGGGCACTACTCGCAATCTGTGGTCTCGGGGTTCGAATCCCGTTCCCGAACATGCTCGCCCTTTCAGTCATGAGAGTGTTATAATGTGACGGTCAATCCCAATATTCGTTGGTAAAGAGTAGCTCAGGAGTTGGCATTGGGTGTCGTGACTAGTTGGCTTTTCTATTGTCCATCGCTTCATAATTAGGGACCGCTATTGCAGACAGAGTAGCTTTACGTGAAATTCACAACAAATAAACAAACTTTTAAGTGTAGAACCTCTGTGCTCGGATCGTGTTGCTTGAATAAAATAAGAAGGCAGAAACACAAATAAGTTTAATGACTTATACAAAGACACATGACAAACACCAAAAAAAAAAAAATAATAATAATAAATAAAACGGAAGAAAAAGAAGCAATGTTAATGTTGCCATGGTAAAATGTTGTCACTGAATCATATCAGAAATCTTCGGATTGGCTTTGTTACTTACCCAATTCGCCCTGAACAACGTCAAACCTGGTGGCGCCCTCATGGAAGAGTTTTGGATCGTCAGTTAATTCCTGAAAGAGAAGAAAAATACCAGATGATATCTTTTTATTTTTTAGTTTGCGACAATAGATTCTCAAGTCGTCTTTGATAATGAAACAACAGTTGATTCAGTTTTCTTGCTGGCCCACCATGGCCAGGTGGTTAGGGCGCTTACCTCGCAATCTGAGGTTCACGGGTTCGAATCCCCATCCCACCAACCAGCTTTCAGCCATGAGGGCGTTATGTAAAGAGATGATCAATCACACCATTCATGTAAAAGAGTAGCACAAGAGTTGGCGGTGGGTGTTTTTAACTAGTTGTCTATCATTGCTAAATTAGGTACGGCTGGCGCAGATATTCCTTGTGTAGCTTTGCGCGAAATTCAAAACAAACAAGAGTTTTACTTAATACACAATTTTAAAGAAATTTTCTACATGACCTCAGTCTCACTTTACAAATCACTCATGCGTATACGCTTTCATCCATATAGGACATTTTGAATTCATGTGTGTGTTCACTATATTACAATTTTCTTTATATACAACAAACTTAATTAGGTTGTGTTTAGAAATAAAAACTTTCGATCACCAGTCTTCAAATGTAGCATTCATTTCATAGTTTTCTTAAGTTTTAAGTTATTTTTTCTTCTTATTATTTTCCAGAAACTGGTGTCGGTTTCGTTAGTAATCGTACCTCCCACATGCAATAATCGTTTTAGAAAATCGCTTTGGACCGTTTCGTTTGGGGCCTCTTATAGAGGCGAACTTTTCATGTTATCTATATAGAGATAGGTGTTTCAAACTTTGTGGGTTGGTGATTAAATGATATGTTACATGACGTCACTTGGAACTTACACCTCCTCGTGCATGATAAAATCACATATTAAGAAGAAAAAGAACGCATTCATTTTAAATGCGCATGTCTGGTTTATGGCTATTGAAATTATAGTAATTCAGTGTGACATTACAAGGCTTTATTGGACAGATAAACAATTTTACTGCACTCATGGGACAGTGGGTTGGTTGCCATGTTACAGCTTTTACGATGTCTCGTTATCCACTGTTGGCATTGTTGTACACTTCTAATAATATACTGAGGACTGTGACTGAGAAGGCAGGGGACCTTTAACCTTTTCTTATCACCATGAGTTGGATTTTTAATGCTGTACTTTATGAAGCATAGTAATTAGTGTGATGGACTGTGGATCCGAGGGTCTGTGGATTACCTTCTATCGCTGCAAAATCGCGTTACGCACTACGAGGTCGTGGGTGTGTAACAAGAGTGACGATCAACTCCCACTATTTAATTAGAGTAGCTCAAGGATTGACTAGCTACCTTCCCTCTAGTCAACCATTTAAAAATTAAAGACAACGAGTGTAGGTAGCTCTTATGTAACTTTGCGCGAATATCTGAAACAAAGAACTCAATGAAGAGTGATTTTCAGAAAGTATATATATATATCACATATTAATAAAGTTAGTTTTGTGCTGCATAACCTTTTACTAAATGTATGTACTTATGCTGTTAAACCAGTCACTTCCAAGTAAGTAGAAACTTTCATCTCAAACGCTAGTAAGCTTCTTAAGAAGCTCCCTGATGGCTTAGCGGAAAGTCTGAGGACTTATAGCGCTTAAAATCTGGTTTCAATACCCGCGGTGGGTCGATCACAGATTGCCCATTATGTATCTTTGTGCTTAACAACAAACAAACTATTTCAGAATATCAATCCACTGGACAGCTGATTATCTGATTCTATAGAACTGTAGTGACAATAATCAAGCGAGTGAGAGTCTAATTACACAAAACTTAGAGCTAACAAGTGTCAACATATGACTACTAATTAACTGATAACTATTAAACCTACTGATGTTCCTTACTTTCTATTCCAGAATAAAGTTCTAAAGATTATTAATATTATTTTTAAATTTTGTGAAAATATGTATCTAAATATATTCATATGACCGCATGTGCTACAGACGTTATGATCTATACTAGAAGTCGCTAAGAGCTTATGAGTGAAATAAAGCGAAAACGTTACAGTGTGTCAACCACACTACATCTAAAATACTTAGGGCTGATGTGGTTTTTCGTGTTATACCAGGGCTATGATGGACATAGTAGTGGTCTAGGCGCTATTTATATCATCAGTTTTCACGAACAGAGACTGTTTTCGTGTGAACTAGATTAAGTAAATGAATTACAATTATTCTCAACTTTATTTAAGTCATTTACAAGCCAGATCTTAGGGTAAGTATTAATAACACATTACTATTATTATTATTTCATTTTTAACACTGGAGCCGCAAAGAGATATTGAAACATTATTAATTACTGACATAGTATATGTATTGTTTCTCGTGTAAATACAAGTTATTCTGCCTTTGAAATATTTTTGAGCTCATAAACAATGTACCATGGTACTTTTCAAGTTTTTGATAATTTATAATAATAAAGGAACTGTCTGTGTGTGCGTTACCACCATAACTCCAAGAGGAAAGAGCATAGGAACCTGAAATTTTGCACACATACTAAGTGGACCCTGAGAGTATGAACCTGGGTATTATTACTTATCTTATACACGTTCGTGTGCGCATGAGCGTGCCATTTTTTTAATGAGGCAAGCTTGCGTTAAACTACATAGCAAAAAAAAATATGTGACCACCATAGCTCCAAGAGGAAAGAACCTAGAAATCTGAAATTTTGCACTCGTAAACCCTGAGGGTGTGCACCTGGGTATTATTACTTATCCACGTGCATACGCATCTTTTTATGAGACAAATTAGCGAAAAACCACATAGAAAGGAAGTGCGAATATTGTTACCAAGGGTATAATATATGAATGGAATTCTGTGAGGTACTATCAAGTCAAGAATAATCAACAACATCAGTAGGAACTTTTCGGTGTTCCAACAATATCTTCTTAGTTGTCAAGTCAGTGAATACTATTTCTCTCAACAATAGCAAAATCGACTTTTTTGTGTAACAGTGACAGTTTTTTTTTGTTTATAAAACAGTGATTATACTGTTCCTTTTAACAATATCGGTACTACGTTTTTGGTGCATTAATGGCACATTCTTAGCTATCTATTAATGACTATGGTTTTTCTTAATGACATTTGATATAAATTTTTGATTTATCAATGGCATTTTAGTTTTGGCTACCAATCAGTGACCACTGTTTTTCTCAACATTGTGATGGTGTGAATAAGTTGGTCATTCAGAATCGATACTGTTACATTAATTTTATCAACTATTAGTTGATGGTGTATTTCTTTATATTACAAATAGAAACCACAAACAGACAGACAACTTCTAACATGTAGAAAAAGCCATTGCATTTTGGTAACAATGCGTTCGTGAGGGTGCACAACTGGGTATTATTACTTATCCATGTGCGTGCACGCATGCACGTACACATCTGTTGAATGAAGCAAGCTAGCGAAAAACCACACAGAAAAGAAGTGGTTCCTTATATTACAAATAGAAATCATTGGCAAACCAACATGCACGCGTGCGTGTCTGTGTATGTGTGACCGCCATAGCTCCAAGAGGAAAGAACCTAGAAATTTGAAATTTTGCACCCATACTAAGTGGACCTGGAGGGTGTGCAACTGGGTACAACTTACTTATCCACATGTGCGTGCGCATCTTTTTACAGAGGCAAGCTAGCGAAAATCTACATAGAAAAGAAGTGCTTCCTTATATAACAACTTCTAATATATAGAAAAGCGAGTGCGTTTTGGCAACAGTGCATTCCAAAAATGGCTTTTATGCTATGTTGCTTAGCAATAAAAGTATATAGGTTATACTTTTATGCTAAAATGTGTTCAAAATACACATATTATCAACCTAATAACTCAAGCGAAGCCAGGTACTTTTGCTAGTAATGTATAAAATTTCAATATTTGGTATGATACATATGTTAAGTATAGAAAAAAAAGTACTTGAGTTTACGATGTCATGTATTTAACAATACAGACATTTTCTACATAGATGCCCCCCAGTGGCGCTAGAAACCGGATTTCGATACCCATCATGGGCAGAGCATAAACAGCCCATTGTGTAGCTTTGTGCTTTACTGCAAACAAACCAATTCTACATAGTTGTATCCTTAACCCTAGAATTGTCAATGGGGTCTTTCATATTTCCAAACATATTTTTCTAAACTATTTGTGCAACAGATTTCTTGTGTTTGTTTGTTGAATTTCGTGCAAAGCTACTCGAGGTCTAAATGCGCTAGTCATCCCTAATTTGGAAGTGTTAGACTAAAGGGAAGGCAGTTAGTCAACATCACTGCCAACTCTTGGGTTGCTCTTTACCAACGAATAATGGGATTGATCTTTACATTTTATCATATTCACGGCTCACATATTGAGCATGTTTGGTGATGGGATTTGAACTAGCAACCCACAAATTGCGAGTCGAGTGACCTAGCTTCCAGACCATGCCAGGCTAATTTCTTGCGAGTCCAAGATTTTGCTGGCCACAAGATCCCTAATAATATACGAATTACACACACAAACAAAATATTAAACCACGTTATCGTCATTATTGCAATTAATCCCAAAATAACTGCTGAGAACCCTTTTTTATGTTTGTTTGTCTAGTGCAAAGCTCCAAAATGGGTGCGTTTTATCTACCGAGGGTAGTCAAATCCCGGATTTTAGCATTGTAAGCCATAATACTTACTGTAGACCCACCAGGACTCTATTTTGTTTAATCAAATGAATTGTTACGTATCTGCTTGTTTGTTAATTTCCTGTAGAAATTCTTTCCGAGAAGCTTTAGCGATACGAGTTCTTTCTTAATTAAAACTAGTTTATTCTTTCTCGTTACAAACTTTGTGATACACTTAATTTCTACAGTCACTTTAACTTAAACACACGCTATAATTCACAACGATTCACGCACTATCTTACGGTCACTACCGCTCGCTTGACATAATTATCTGTCTCTATACCTCTCTATCTGCAATTATTTGCCGGGCTTATATACTAAAATAGAGGGCGCGTGGAAAACACTAGAGTTGCCAGGAACAGTCATGATCCGTCTAGAAACTCCAGCGTGCATGCTTCCAGCGTCGCGTGACTTCCACTGTTGTAACAGAATGTTTTTTCTACTCAAGACCCTACTGAAGTAGGCCACCACATGTTCGTTTTCGCCCTCTTTCTGAGACAAGACTCCTCCAATTCCGACATTACTAGCATCACAATCAGGTATGTATGGCAGTGAGGGATTTGGAAGCTTCAAAAGTGGAGCTGAGGCCAATTTTCCTTTCAATGTCTTAAAAGCATGCTGGCAAAAAAAATGTCCATTCGAACTTCTGACCTTCTTTGGTCAAATCATGTAATGGAGCAGCTATAGTTGTAAAGTTCTTCACAAACTTCCGGTAATAGGTACAGAGTCCCAAAAAACTTCTTAACTCTCCCACATTGTCTGGTGTTGGCCAATCACGCACTGCTTTCACCTTGTCAGGATTAGTTCACACACCATGCTCAGTTACAATGTGACCAAAGTAAAGCACTGCTTTATGGAACAAGTAGCATTTCTTGGGATGGAGTTGGAGGTTTGCTGCTTTCAAATGCTTGAATACTTCCTCTAGCCGGGACATTTCCTCATCAAACGTTGTTGCAAACACAGTGACATCATCCAGGTACACTAGAGCTATCCTCCATTGTAGGCCTTCCAGTACTCTTTCCACCAGCCTCTCAAATGTTGCTGGAGCATTGCTAAGCCCGAATGACATCACACAGTATTGCCAGAGACCTTGGCCATAACTAAATGCAGTCTTAGATTTATCTGTTTCAGCCATTTTCACTTGATGGAAACCCGACTTTAAGTCCAGAGTTGAAAACCACCTGGCTCCACTTAGGTCATCAAGAGTATCATCAATTCTTGGCAGTGGGTATGAGTCTTTTTCGGTTATACTGTTAAGAGTCCTGAAATCCACACAGCAACATTGGATCCCATCCTTCTTCTGGACTAACACGAGAGGAGCTGACCAGGGACTATCTGATTTCTTGACTATCCCTTCTTTAATTAGGCCATCCATGACCTTCTCCATCTCTTGTCGCTTTGCCGGAACTATTCTCCTCGGAGGGATCTTTATTGGATGGTGATTGCCTGTGTTTATTCTGCGCTCCACGAGGTCTGTGCAGCCGAGGTCATGATCTCCTTTTGAAAAGACATCTGTATAACTGGCCAAAAGTTCCCTTACCTGAAGAGTCTGTGATGATGACAAATGGACCATGTTCTTCTTATAGAGGTCAGTTAAATGTTCTGGGAGTGGATGTCCTTTCTTTATGGTTGTATTTCTTGCCTTAACACTGACTGGCTCGACCTCCTGGCACACACCCAACAATGCTCCTTCCTTAAGTGTCTGCTCAGATTTAGAGAAGTTAGCCACTGTTATGGGTACTACTTGATGACCTGCCACAAGAGACCTTCCAATCGTCACATCCACTGGTTCCACAAGCATTGGGCTTCCTTGGGATGTTCTTTTATTCTACCCCAAATTATCTTCTCTGACATAGGGGTATTGTAGTTGACTTAAGTGCTGTGACTTGCAAATCAACAGATGCAGCAACACTTACCGGAATTTGGCCTTTGTTGTTCCCAAACGTCATTTTATCGAAGTTACTATGCATTGGTGTTCAGTGTCAGCCAAGTATACTTTGAGTCTGTCCTTTAAGCCCATGAGCTCAATAGTTACCCACACTGGTCCCCACAACCTTGCATAATGTCCTGTCACACCTCAAAGCTGTATGGCTCCTGATACTCCTTTGTGATCTAGCACCTTGATACTCACAAGGATTTGCTGAGATGCAGAATCTATGACAAAGTTGCACCTTTAGCCATTCAGCTTTCCTGTCACGTAGACACTATGTGTGCTTGGCATTTTACACCTAGCTGTTGGGACTTTCACTATGGGGGTTGATGGGCGTCCCTCAACACCAATCACTACTGGTTTTCCCGAGGCTGACTTATTGGTAGTATTCCTCTTACACTGGCTCGTCATATGTCCTTGCTCTCCACAGTTCCAACAACCTTTCTGGGTAGCAACCTTTCCTTCTGTGGCATCTTCCCTGTGTTGAAGTTTCTGGCATTGAGCTTTTTCGTGCCCAGGTTTGTTACAGTACCAGCAAAGTCCCTCAAACCTCTCTGAAAGCTGACCTTTTCTGGCCTTGAATCCTGATAACTGTACCAACCTTGGTACCTCTGTGCTGGACTTAACATAGGATTCAAATTCAAGAGCTCTGGCCATTGCATCCTGCATAATAGAGGGGTGTGCTTCCTTTAATTGTATCTTCAGTTGTGGACTGTCCAAGTCATCTACAAATTGATCCCTCAGCAACAACTTGAGGAGATCAGGTGGCGCAGTTGGGTAGGCCTTGTGTGCCATACTTTCCAAATCCTGTGCCAACTCTTTC